CATCGGTGGTATTTATAGCATATATGTTTGGCATTTGAATAGCCAATTCAGGTCACACACGACTGCTGTTCATTGGTGGGGCAGACAGCCTTTTAAACAGCACGCTGAGCTGTGAGTATTTCACTGTTGTCTCATCAGCCCCATGCTCCTCTCAGCATGTCCCCAACTCAGCTAAAAACTAGCTTCATGTCAGCAGTAAGAATGGAGGAATCGTAGTTATATTTGCCATGTCAGATTTTGCTAGTGACATGCAAAAAGTCCTATTTTAGGGGATTCACGTGGAGGTTATAGCACAAGCATTTCTATTTCTCTCGCATTTAGTCACGTTCCTTGATAAGCCTGTAATTGGCAGGGTTGGGAGATGATTGTTACTTCTGCCTGCTTCTGTGAGGCTGTACACGTTACTCAAATGTGACTGGAGGATGTGAGCCTGATGACAGCTGTAGTCTAAATCAAAGATTTGTGTGCTGAGGCACTATTTACTGTCGGCAAAAGATAGTACCTCGCATCTCTCTTATGTAGATAGGCAGCATGCGTTCCCATAAAGCATGCATCACACACACCAGCAGTCACACATGTACAGAAAATGTAGATGGGCGCATATGTATTCCGTACACGGAACGCAGCATGAACGCACACAATGGGAAATTGTCAGCAGAAATAAAACAGTGATACCTCCAGTCTTTTTCTCCCATTGTGCATGTGCTAACCTGTGTCTAAAACCACCTTTGTGATGGTATAATCCATCCTCCACACCAGTGACTTACAGTAAGTGCTCAAAATAAGGCATTGCACATTCCCTCCACCCCTCCCTCAACCCATTTTTCTCTACCCTTTCACTCCTCTCACCCCCTCTATCTCTCTCTGTCCCTCTCCCTTCTCTGATCTGCTGTGTTTGAGTACCAGAGGTCACAAGCTTTGGACATAGCAAAGGCCCCAGCCAGGCCAATGTGCTGACTGAGGGGATATGGGGCTTGACTTTGGGCAGTGTGAAAGATCCAGGCCTGCCTTGTTTGTCTGTCTGTCCGTCTCACTGGCCACACTATAACAAGATTGCAGGGCTCTGTAAGGCGGATTTACTGGAGCACAACTCCCCCTAGGGCCTTTTCATAGAAATGGGTTCCTCCATATTTCACCATAGCCTCTCACTCTCTTGTTGTCAAATGTGTCTATCTTACTTTCTCACACTCTCGCTCTCCAAACCTCTGGTGTTAGCTCCCACTCTCTTTTGTTAATTATGTTATGCTTCTTTGCTTTCTTTCTATGGGCAAAGATTGAACCTCGCCACAAATGAAAGCACGAGGCTGAGCCAAACGCAGCTGAGAGAAGCAGACACAATGACAGAGAGAGAGGGGTGGAGGATATGGCACCAGCTACCAGATCACAAGTCCTCTCCACATTTATCTCCCCCTCAAGATGGCCATGTTTATTGAGATAGCCTTTCCCATGTCCTTATGGAATCTCATAGAGACATGTGAACACATGCACAGCATTGTGACCACAAATGTTATCGCATTTTAACCTAGTATGGTTCACAGTTTTTATTGTTTCTGGGTCACCTTACTGCAAATTGAAAGCCAAGGTCACAAACCTAAACTTGACTGACAAAACAATTTTTCATACTGTGTGTGCAGAGCTGCCACCACAGTGAATTCTGTTGTGTCTCATAGTTGATTTTGACACAAATGATGGGGTCTTGCAGTCCAACCGTCCCAGCTGTGCACACGGTGAATGAGGCCAATCCAAATGCAAACGCACATCAAGGCGAGCTTATTTTGGGAGCACTGTGTCATCCATTCCACAGCACAAAAGCTCCTCTGCAAGACCATAAATAAGTGGGAAAGTGGGGAGCAGCGACTGTATACCAACCAATACCCATTTTGATTTGTCTGCCAACTCTTTCTGGCAAAAACTAAGACAGTTTTCTTTCCGTCACAGATACAGCACATTTGCTGCCTATTTTTTTCCTCTGTGAAATACATACAATTTATGACACTCAAATCCTCATTGTTGAGCAATGAAGAACAGTTTTGACACAAGCAATGCCAAAGTTAGCGAACTGACCCCAGTCATTGTTTGAAGGTCAATTTAAAGTCTGCTTTTTTGAAAGTCTAGTACTTAATGTGGAAAAAGATTGCAATGCCCCACTTTCAGCGGTCACCCTGGCCCTATCTATCTTCCAGGTAAACTCTTCCATTTACAGCGCCTACAGTTGAAGCAGTGGGCAGTTAAGTAGGAGGTTGGAGGTGAGAAAAGGAGCAGTGAGCTCTTATCAGGCCTGCTACACAGTGCTGGGTTCAGCCCGGGGCTGCTGATGGGTGTGGGAGTACTGATTACAGAGGCTAGCCTGAGGAGCTGAGGAGAGACAGTGGGCGCAGGTCTCCCAGTAGACCCCTGTACAGCCATTGAGCATTAACCAGCACCATTAGGTCCAACAAACCGCACAGTCTGATCATTCTTCCTCTTGAATATTCTTTTCACCAAAAAGCTCTCTCACTCTCTCTTTTCTGACATCCAAACTAATATCGGTGGGGAGCCCACAAGATGAATGACCCTGCAAATGCTGCATTAAAAAGTCATAAAGGGGGATACCTTCAGGGTCCAGGAGCTCCTCTGTTAAAAGGGGTGGCCCTTTTATTTCTGCTGACTAATGACTTGAACTGAGCAGGTGGTCCAACAGAGCAGAAGGACCTCAGCAATGCATCCTGTCGCTCCTGCGCTGCCAAATGGACACACAAACACTCAACCGTGAAGTGCCGTCTCTCTGCCCAACTGGCGAATGCCATTTGGAAACTTTAAACTCGATTGACAGTGAGCAGCGTGGAGCTCAGGCTTATAGCGGAGGACTCACAAAGTAGAGACAGAGCTTAAACAAAACTTGAAGAACTGCTGAAATCCACCATATGATGTCATCTGTATGACTGAAGCTCCCCCTTGGTAGAAGTAGAGGCAACTCCTCTGTGTCCTGCGTCAGCACTGACTCAATGGTTTCACAGCACAGAGCTGACATTTTCATTGGCCCAGAGATCGCTTATGGGACAGGGTGTTGGCTCCTGTGAGGGTGGACCAGTGAACAAGTGGACAGGCGCCCAGTGAGTGCTGATGCATTCACAGGCCACATTTGGCCTCCTGTGGAACATTTGACAGCATGTGATTGTGTCTGCGGAGTACAAAGGGATTCTTTCAAAGAGTGGCTCTGGGTTGAATCACTCCGCCACAGACACAACACCTGTGAAAGCACATAGTTTTCATTTGAATACGTGTCTCACTCCATGATGTTTATTTATTCTGTGCAAACAGGAGGAAACGTTAAAGCTATTAAGCAGCATGATAATGAAAAGGAGATCTAACAATATTTACACAACCTGTACATTCCTGCATGATTCCAAATGAGCATCTGCTGGCTGGATAACTTTATTTTAAGCGCTGAGAGTCCCCAGGAGCTATTTGCTCGCTCGCCAATTAAATTAAAGGCAGGTAGTTAAGTTAAATGTTGTAGAGCCAAAAATATCCGTCACATTTGAGTGTGTACAGTGAGCTCAGCGGCCCTCTGCAGTATCCTACAGCCTTTCTACCAGGTGGAGGGAGTCGAATATCTCAGCAGTGCACCAACCCCTCTGGACGCACACAAATACACACACACACACAGAGACACACACCAATACCATAGCTTCAGCTTCCAGCAAACCCCCCTGACGCCTCTGGCTAATTCCACTCAAGCCCGCCGGGCTGTCCAGCATCCTCCAATAAATTAGCCTCGCTGCTCCCCCACTGAGACACAGGCCCTGACAGTCTGGCTGGTGCCCAAAGTCACTCGCTTGTGCACACACAGTCATAATTATTGCTACTTTTTCACTGCAAACCTTTTCACTGCAAGTTCTCCACTGTGTAGACTGTGGATGTTTGGGTATGGGTGTTGATTCCATGTTCCGTTTGTGGATAGTGTCATATCGCAGTGTCTACTTTGCAGTGGCGGATCTTCCTTTAGGGGACAGAGGCAGCTGCCTAGGGCGCCATCCAGAGGGGGGATGTAAAAAATATTGCAAATATGCAAAAAAAATCAAACATAAGGGAAATGGTGGAGTAGTAGTAGACAGTAGTAGATTGTATGGAGAGCATTTAAGTAAGACAAAATGCAAAAGCCATTTGGGGTGCAGTACAAAAACAAGAAGATGGGTTTCTGGTTCGATCCCAGGAGGGAGCCCTTCTGTAGGGTTTTCTCTGGGTACTCTGACTTCCTCCCACAGTCCAAAGACATGCAGATTAATTGGTGACTCTGAATTCTCCATAGGTGTGAATGTGAGTGTGAATGGTTGTCTGTCTCTATATGTCAGCCCTGTGATAGTCTGGCGATCTGTCCAGGGTGTACCCCACCTCTCGCCCAATGTCAGCTGGGATAGTGGATGGATGGATATTATCTAGCAGGGGAAGCCTGCCCAGGTCGCTGAATGTGCTAGGTCCAGCACTGCTACATTGTCACACGTGATAACAGAAAGATGGCCCTTTTAGGTCGTTAATTAAGCAACTCAGTAACTGTATCTCTGCAGTTTTACAGCAGACATGTCCATGTGCAGGCTCCATAGCTCGGTAGTCAACCGCTGTGTACCTTTCCTTCCCAGGCCACAATTCCCCGCAGCTGCTGCTGTGAATAAGAATGTGTTCTTTGACTGCCCTTGTCAAAAGGGGTTAACAAAAAAGATCATCATAATACTTCTCTCTGACCTCCTACGCCAAACTCTATTTCCTGTAAAAAGAATCGTCTCTCTTCAGTGTCCGGGTGTGACGTATCTCGGCATCTGTCAGATAGTGATTGGGATTCTGGGTCATATCTCTCGCTGCGTCTTCCGTCTCAATTTCCTCTGTTGGCATGCTTTTGCTTCCTATCTGTGGCATCTGCCTCTTGTCTCAAGTTTGGATCGAGCAAGTGTCCCCATTTGACATCTACCTCTCCCTTTCCCTCCCCTCCCCCAACTCTCTACCTCTCTCTTCCTCTTTCTTAGTTCTATTCAGCCTGCTGTCAGTGGGTGCCCAGACGGAGATGAAGAAGGTCGTCGGGGACAATGCCACCTTACCGTGCCACCACCAGTTCCCGTCGTCGAACTCTCTCGACATTGAGTGGCTACTGCAGAAACCAAACTCCAAACAGAAAGTGGTGAGATAAGATTCCTTTTAATTCTCCATCGTCATATGGTTTGTCAACACATTAATTTAAATGAGTCCCTTGGAAATGGATATGTCACTGTGTCATTCTTTCATGACTTCTTGTATATTTTTTGTATCACTACTGCAGAGAAAAGCTTAAAAGTGCAGTGCTTCCTAAACTGGTCATTGCCGGCAGGAACAGCCTGAATGCTGTCCTCTTCAGAAGGAAAAAGCAAAACTATTTTTATGCTACAGGCAGAACGTAAACAGGAGAACATCTTAAACACACTCTTGATGGCTTTGAATCCTGGGGTTACAGGTTTTGTGACCTTTGCTATAGAACCTTCAAAATGACAATGGGAACATTCGCGTTAAAACACAGACCTCTGTCTATTACCCCTTTATTTTTTATCTACCTGACATATATCCTCTCCTCCTCCTCTTTTCCCTCTGCCCCGTTTCTCTCGTTCACACATCCACTTTTTTATCTATCTTCTATCTTCCCTCCATTTGAGTCATGCTGATTGATTTCCAACAGGAGCCATAATAGTTGCACATTAACTCAATGCCCAAAGTTACTGTGGCACTTCAAGTTTTAGTGCCTTTCACAAAGGAACAATCATGCCCAGAATGTTCCCCAGCTCATTTTGTAGTTGTAACCTTGGACCCTTTACTCTTAACTTTTGCTACAGCAAAGGCACAAACGTGAGAGCAACTTGGACAAGGTTTTCAATTAGCTTTTTTTTCTTTAACCAAATGTGATTGCACTGTTTCTAACACGTCTAACAGAGAAACAGTCTTAATTATATTTTCATCAGTTTCCATTTAGTGTGTGGTTGTTAGCTCAGTACCATACCTAAAACTAACTAAGGAACTAGCAAGTGTAAGCTAGCTAGAAATTGCTAACTCAAGTGTGCCATGCCATTGTTTCTATTAGTTTATAATTCCAATGTTCTAGTGGTGTAGAGATATTTGATGTGGTGGATGTACCATTAAGTAAATGGATGGGCTACCGAGGGGGAAGTGGGTATACTGTCCCATATATTTCAATGTCTTTTTGGTTGTTGGGAGGGGTCACCGTGAATGACCTGAAAATGAAGTTGGTAAAACATGTACACGTGTTAAACCCTCCACTACACCGTTGCGATTGTCCAAAAAATGTCCCATTGGGCCAAAAGGCCGGTTGTCCAACAGCTCGGTTTCCTGAAAGCAAATATGCTCCAAAGGGCCATCTCACCATTCTTCCAAGCACATGGCTAATACTATGCAGAATTATGTCGTCGGACCTTCTTACTTTAGCAACAGCATGATCTGCCCTACTCTCCGTTTGATTGGCCCTACCCTAATATTCTTACCCTAACCTTAACCAGTGTCATTCCTCATGCCTAAATGTAACCAACACAACCAACAAAGGCAATGAATACGGGCCAATTGGAGGCAGAGTAGGGCGGGAAGGTTCGATGACATCATTCTGCGTAATACTTAGCCATGTGCTTCTGTTTGGGAGAGTGTTTAGTGTATTTTCAGAGAAAAGGCCTTTGGATCAAAGCATGTTTGCTTTTGGGATACCAAGCTGTCGGACAACTGGCCTTTCAGTCCAGAGGGATATAATTCCGACTATTGTGGCTCCAGAATTTTCTGTCGTCTGAACAATTAGCAGTCCTTAACTCAAGCTAACATTAGCTAACAGACGAAGCAGCATAACTGTCATATTTCTCATAAAAACAGCCTCAGCAGAGACTCCTGGTTCTCCAGAGATTTTGCTGTACATTTCTTCAGCAAGACAGAACTGACTTGAGACTGCACACACACTCCCTTAAGCTCCAAGGAAGGCACACTGTTTCCAAAATGTCAGCTCATGGAGTAAAGACAGTCTGCGCTGCATATCTGTCACTCTAAAGTGCTGCTGCTTTCTTTGCAAGTTAATATAGTTGCTTTTTACCCAATGATTGTCAAGGCTTCACATCGTGAGATTAAATTAAACATAAGCATATTAAGCATCTGTTATGTGCTCCCTGTCTTTTAAATTGTTTATTTTACATCAGGAAAAAAACTTGAATGATTTATGTTATTACATGTTTTGTAATGTCTAAAAAAAGCTCAACTGATTGTGACATTTCTTTGGGTTTCCTTTGCTTGCTAGAGCTGATATACAAAACACAAAATTAGTAGATAGCAGCTGATTGTAGACACATATTCCCAGCTTTAAAGAGCAGCACAACTATTCTGTCCTAAATAAAGCATCACCTGCCTGAAAGCCTTTAAATAGCCTTAACTTGGTTTAGTGTCTCACAGCCTCTTAAGACGTTTTTGGTATCGTTTCACTGGTTTCGAATCATTTCCTTTCCTCACCCAAATTGAACGTTGTATCTGATGACAGACGGAGCATAAAGTCTCACCAGCTTTCTGTCGGAAAAAAGAGATTTCCTTTCTTTTTTGGAAGTCGTTTGTTCATGCACTGACGTGTTAGTAAGCACAGAGAAGTGTGAGAAAGAGAAGGAAAGGAGTGTGCAGAGGGGGAAACAGAGGGGCCTCGGAATGAAAGAAAGAAAGGGGAAAACAAGTGTCTTACGCTTTGATGATTCAGAGGGGGCCTGCCACATTGCGATGAATATTTAACGGGAAGATAACATTGAAGGCGCCATTAATTAAAATCAAACGTCTGAAAATTTGATTAGGAAAGAGACTGCGCCTGTAGCTGAATGAATAAATCATTCTTTTGTTCTGCTGGAGGGCCATGTTGAGAGGGAAAGAGCATCTTGTCAACATTTAGCCTCTGTTAGCAAATGTACAGGCTACATGTATTAAGGACACAGAGGGGCTCGAGACATCTCACCAAAGTTCACTTACAATCTTCCAGATGAATAGTAAAAGACTGTTCTGTCTGGTTTTCACTGTACTGACATGAAACTATAGACACGGTACATGCTGGGTTTTAGCATAGCGACAGCGGTGGTACTGACCTGGAGAAATGCCATTTTCCAAAACATGTAAAACAGTGAAAGGAAGATGCCTAAAGCTGAAATTCTCAACTTTCCACAAATTATCATCCTGTCTTGGAAGACACACCAGCAGCATTGTGATACCAGATTTTACTGTATGCTGATGATTTTCATTGCAAGAGAGTGTAGAGAAACAAAAAGTGTTGCCCTTCCAGCGCTCCATTTTTTTATTTATTTTATTGTCGTTTATTAACACTACAATTGCAGCCAGCTGAGATGATTAATATTAATTAACAGTAGAGTGGAGAGTGGATGCAAAATGTGTATTTTTCTGTATTTCATTTACTTACATATATCAAACATGTTATGGATCACAGTTTTAAATAGGAATGTTTGTTTCATTTAATGTTGCGTTTAACAGCCCTACACCCATTAACCGGTAACTAACTTAATTTCTTAATGAAAAAATGCAAAATGACGTGAATCACAAGGGGTGCCAGGGCTTGATATTAACGCTTGCCCGGGGCAAGTAAACTCTGTGTTCAGGCACATGTAATGCCTCATGCAGTTGTCTGATCAGGCAAGTGAAAAATGAATGTGATGTCTAATGTAACGTTTTCTGAAAATGCACTGAGCACTATATCTCCAAAGCAGAGCTGCGTGCACATGTCTGCCTCACCACCACACTCTCAACAGGACTGATGAGAAAAATCAAACAGACTGGGCAATATGGAAGTTAAATCTGGGGTCGTCTCTGTCGTACATGACATAATGTTACTAACATTAAATATCTCTGGAATGCTATATGCAAGATAGACTTACTTTTTTAGCCCAGAAGCTAATGCTGTCATTAGCTCTGGGCTCTGGTGCAATCGTATGCCTTTTAGAAGCACTGGAATCCAGCTTTGAACTGCAGTGTCCGACACTGAATGTCTTCTGTGCTTATTTATCCATTTTTCCATGTTGAAAACAGGTACTGTTTTGTTAGTAGTCCCAACTAGGCATACATGATGCTTTTGTCAAACCAATCAGACTTTCGACCAGTCAGAGGCTTTGTTTTGGACTGGGTCTGTCTGTGGCTATTGGGAGAGTGATGGGCGGCTGAGATATGCTGTGCCTTCCAATACTTACAGAAAAAGATTTAGTATGTCCCAATACATAGTATGTCAAATGCAGTATGCCAAAATATCAGGATGTTCTACTACATTTGGTCCTGTTTTGCAGTATGCAAGCCAGCATGCTATTCTGGCTATTCTGACCCACAATCCTCTGCGCAGCGGACGAGACGTCACATCTACTGAGCCGCAAACAGAAGACAGCTATTTGACAGCTGATTGTCAGAAGTCCCAATGAGGGATGACAGCACAGTCAAGGAACTGATGACCAGTCTGATAGTAAGAATAGGATTATTGATTGTTAAGGTAAACAAAATAATCATAAATATCACAAACAACAAAAAGACATAACTATGGGAATAACAATGACAGAGAACTGCAGATGTAATTTCACTGTCGTAAATATAATATGTTAGAATCTACAATCTGTGCAGTAAGAACTTTGAAGTTAAACTACATACATTGCAAAGTAACAACAGCAGAGCTCCAAGGGTTGATCTCCGTCTCTGGCGAAGTTGGTGAATGGTGTTTGTTTATCTTCAGGGAAACCAATTTAAAACCAAATTTTATGATGTAGACTTAAAGTGAGCTTCCCCTGTTTGAAAGACCAGCAGCCGCCACTGGTGTATACTGCATGCAACAGTACATACTTTCAAGGGCAGCTGCAGTACCTACTAGAAGTAAAAAGAAAAAGTGCGATTCGCAACACATCCATTGTTTTGTTTGTCCCCATTGGCATCCATGATGCTTTTATCAAACCAGTCAGAAGTGTGTTCCAATCAGAGGCTTTGTTTTTTACTGTGGCTATAGGGAGGGTAATGGGCAGGTGGCTCAGATATGCTGGTTTGTGGTAGTCATCAACCCAAAGCATGCATCATGGCGCTGCTGGTCTAACACAGGCGGCAGCTTGTCTGTCATAAGCTGTTTGCGGAGTGTGGCGTGTACGCAAACGAACCTACAGGCCGACATGCATAACTGATCAAAAGTAGGCTATACTCAGCAGTTAATCAATTAATGGTTAACCGTTGATAGATGTACTTCTTAAACAAAGCCTATATGCCGTGAATGTCTGAATGGTACCAATACCATTTCTTGTGTAATCTGGTCATAGTAATCTTTAACAATCCCTCCTTGATCAAAGAACAGGTGGATAGCTATCATTTTTATTGCATCTTAACAAAGTGTTTTATATGATATAAAAACAAGGCATATAAATGGGAATCATGTTTTTTTGTTCCTTACACATACAGCACAGGCAGAGCTCAGGTTCTGCTACTCTTAATATTAATATTTTTAATATTTTTATTGTACATCTTAAAATAACCCTGCAAGTCAACAAAACATTTTTACTGTAGTAAGTAAAAATAACTCCTCCGAGTGTTTCATCTAATGACTCGTTATCCGTTCAAAAAAGCCAGGGAAGGTAGAGGCACTCCATGTCTGCATACAGTATTTTCAATTTTTTACTGAATAAACAAACCACCTCATTTTAATTGCAAACTATGCTAACAGCCCGTGGCCATTTTACTAAATTCTTTTTAAATTCATCACACTCACCGGCACTTCCACTATCTCTCCCTCTGTCGGTGTCATAAGCATGTGTTCAGAGTACACCCAGACATAACCAGAAGCATAAATACACATACACTTGTGGCGTAGGCTACACTCATGTGTATGTGAGTAATAAATGTCCAGAGTTCATGAAGGCAGCAGAAGTGTGCCCATAGGCGGCAGCTTTTTAAAATATGTCCCACTTTGTTTAGGTGCCAGGGCCGTGTCGCTCTGCGCCTGTAGCTGTGGCGCAGTAATGTATATCTGTTTGCATTCATAACGTGTTTCGACTCTACATTGCTTGGACGCAACGTTGTGTGTGTAGGTCAGTGCATGTTTCGCGTGTGCCTGTAAATGGCCAGTCGTCACCTGTGATCACAGCAGGTGCCCCTGTTTCTTGGGCTCTGATGCGCTGTGGCACCGGCATTTAGCAGTCCCCATCTGCAGGCTCTCACTTGCCCTGAGTAATAGGCCACTGTGACAGCTGTGTTTGTTTGTGTTTGTGTATGTGGATGGAGAGAGAGAGAGAGAGAGGCACAGAGAACACGAAGAGGATATAGAAATAAGCCATACAAAGACATAAACAGGCAGAGAGGAGAAAATGAAAGCTCTCCAGTTCAGGTTTACAGATGTTAGATGTCTACGGTGACGTTTCAAACCATCAGATTTTTCCTTTGAAGACCCGGTCTTTGCAAACATCAGTGAACCTTGTGCTAAAAATAAAAGGAGAAATGAAGAGGAGATTGTTTCAGTCGCTAACACAAACATCTTTTTCTGTACCAGCCTACTTTTAATGTTATGATAAAGATATACTTCACCTGATCTTTGTTTCTTTTGTGTTTTATATTTTAATTATTTTGTGATAAAGACAAATACAAACATTCTGTAAAAAGCAAATCATACAGAAAGCAAAATAACATAGAAAAGACTTACCAACATGATTATATATATGCATATGAATTCAAATATACATACATACATACACACATATGTATGTTTTCATGTACCCTTTATGTATAAGATGCACACATATTAACAGTCCTGCTATTCACCCACAAAAACACATCGATTTATTGTATTAATGTACATCAAAGAACATCCCCTTTGTTCATGTTATCACTATCACCAGGTGTGTTTAATATATTTATGAAAATGACTAATGCATTGCTGCTGACTTCAATACAACACTGACTGCAACACTCAGTAGCTACTTATGGTGAGTATTAAGTTAAGACAGGGTGTCTACACATCCTCAAATTAAGGTATCTTAATATAGGGCCTTAATAACTCTTAAATCATCTTAAATTTAGATGTGATGGGTCTAAATATTTTTGGTCACAATATCGCAAAAATTTCTCCAGCCTGTCAGACCCAGTGACTGTTTACAATCATTGGACAGACCGAATAATTCTAATAATAAATTTCATTTTTGACAGCGATGAGATTTTGTTTTCTTTTTACATTAAACACGTTAAACTTAAACTCAACCAGCTGTTGTCATTTTTCCTTACTGTTCATTTTAAACTGACATCAGTTCAGTCAGGAGAGATTCGTTTTTATGGTAAAAGAATATTTATTTATAAACATGTGAACAAATGAATAAGAATGTGGAAAGTCTTTGGTGATTAGACCCCGTAGAGATGGTTTGATTTGAGGAGGGTGATAATCCATAGTCGAATAGGGAATTCCCCCCCCTAGAGGTGGCAGAGGTGGTGAAGATGGACAAGTGCCAATGATCTGGATGAGTAGAGGAATGAGTCTTTGAGAGCTTGTCCTGGACTCTGGATACGATGGCTGGAGGTGAACAGGGTGGAGGAGGGTGCGAAGATTCTGCCTAAAATGATGGTGGACAGCAGCAGAAGAGAGAGCAGATTTAAAATTTTGCAGTGGCATCCTGATTGGCTGAGAGATCGTGGCAAAGTGTGATTGGATAACTAGAGGAGTGAACACCCATAGTCAGCTGATTAGAGGGAGTAGTGAGAGTTTGATGGAGAGAAATGTTAAAGGATGAGCACGGAGAAAGTCTTCCTGATTGAACTTATGCTGAGCTTCATTGTGTTTACTTGGAAAGAGTGTCACACTAATGTGTCAGTATCTGTAGACACCCTGTAAGAGATCCTGAGGCGCCTGTGTCATCATGACACTGCCCAGCTTTCCAACATACTTATGTTTACACGCTCATTTTTTATGGGGTAAGCACTCTACGCTGACAATAGCTTAATGCACTCAAGAGGTATGGCAAGAGTTATTTAGTTGTGGTACTAAACACATTCCTGTGGATATATGTACAATTCTAATGCTACTGTGATGTAACATATCAAATTAAATAAACTAAAGGGTTGTTACAGTAAATGCTGTAAAGCTGCAAAAACAGTATCTCATTATAAAACAAAATAATTGTTCATTTGGTGGAGACTGAAATAATTTGCAGGGAGAGTGGCTGAACTAATTAAACTAATTAATGCCTCTACTGGTTTGTGTAACCTCACTGTTCAGAAAACTGTAAAGTGCTTAAAAATGTCAATATTGAGGATCCTCACAACACTATCAGATATTCTTAAAATAAAAATTTACCACAGCTTTTTTTGGCATAGCAGAAGAGAAAAATAAAAATTTTTCTGGATCAAAACTCAAAATAACATAATGTGTCACTTTATTAGCTTGGAGGTCAATCCCTCTTCCATCCACCGAGCTGGACTCAGTGGTTGAGGGAAGTGATGCAACTTCTCAAACTTGAGAAACTAAGAATCACATTAAATGGCTCTTGTAATAAATGTACAAAAATCTGGAATCCATTTCTGGAATATATAAAAGCTAGACTCTAAACCCCCACTTTATTGATAACTCCAAGTAAAGTAAGTCACATTTATCTTCTGCAGCTGCCTGTTCCTTTGAAGGTTCTATATGTATGTCGGTATCTGTATATGTGTGTACTTGTGCGTATGTATACATAGGTATGTGTTTTTATTTGTTTGTTTTTCCTTTTGTAATGCTGCAGTTTATATGCTTTAAAAAATGGCAATATTGTGGCACTATATAAGATCCAAATCTGATGAAAATCTGTCAAAACACACGTTCTGATTTTGTCATTTTCACTGAGATGTGTTCTGTTTGTTAGATTTCCTGCTACATAACACACTTGTTCTCTGAATACATAGTTTAGGTCACTATGTACTTTGGACTACGTCTGGTGTGAGACATTTGTTTAGCTCTCTAGCATTTTATTTTAACCAGACTGCTAACATCACATCAGCACCACTGTGGGCATTTCAATCTTTTATCTCAGCACCAGAATAGATTTTTATTTGGTCAATTTCACAGCTCCGCTTGTGGAAAGAGCACAAGGAGATAACAGCGCTCACAGATAATCAGCTAAATGAACACTGGCAGGATACTTGCATTCCAGCAAATGCGTTCATTTGTAAAAATATTATTTCCCGAGTGTTAATTAAAAAGTGATTGTTAACAATGTTACCCGTGAGTGCTGGTATTCTGTTTTTCTCAGCACTCTTCACCCACTGAGTGTCGATATGTTGGAGCTGTACGCACACCATCATTAGAGTTATGTAATTTTAAATGTTAATGGCAGAGTACCAGTCAAATATGTCGAGGGTATTACTGCTGGGACGTAGAAACCACAGTAAGTTACCCAAATGTGCTGGTAAGTGATGTGAGAGCGTGGTATTTAGATGAATACTGACATCACCAACAATTAAAATGTTAGTTTATATCAGGTCCAAGAGGAATTTGAAAAATTTGTCTAAAAGGAAGAAAATGCTGCGTTAAGCGGCAGTGGGACGACTGTGATTTTATCGCTCTCAGTCAAGCAGACGGAGACATTAGGAGCGTGTTACACAAGAGAGTTTGGTAAATCAGGATTTAGTGAGAATACTCAGTGTCAAAATAAATCTGTTTTTCTTCTCTTCAATATCTAGATCATTACCTTCTTTGGGGGACAGGTGTACACCAATGAGGCGACGGGCAGTGAGGCCAGCCGTCTGTCCTTCGCTGGCGAGTACCTGGGTGGAGACGCCTCCCTGCTGATCAGTGACCTGCTGCTGACCGACTCCGGGGAATACTACTGTAAAGTCAAGACTGGGGGGAAGTACCACTGGAGCCAGGTCAACCTCATTGTGCTGGGTGAGTGTTGTCAGACACATTGTAACAGACACACGGGTTATGAAGAGAGCCAATCCCATTTGTACATACATACTCTCGCACACGTATACACACACACAGACCTAATCACTAGATCATTAGCCTGGCACATTTCCTCCGTCATGCTGACCGTCCTCGTGATTCAATTTGCTTCAGACAGCGAGATTTGATTTTGCTCGTGCTGTTTGGGTTCGTTCGGATTGCTTTGTTGATGAGGTGAGACCAGGAACATGCGACTGGGTCTTGAGGAGAGTGATTGATTAGGGTCTGAGATACAAGGACATGCATCAAGTTAAATACTTCATATTTGTGTCCTCTATGAGATCAATGAGAAAGCAGACCCCGCTCTTGGTTCGAGGTACATTCTGTAATGAAATTTAGTCTGTGAAAATGACATTGAAAAAAGTCATCTGTCATCAGTCTAACAACTGATAAGCTACTTAGGAAAAGTACAAATCATGTCTTAGCTCTTGAAACTATAGAAAAGCCAGTTTTGGCCTCATAAGCGAGAGCAAAGGCGTCATTGTATATTTATCCCCTTCTTTTTGTTTTCCTCATTTGCCCAATATGCAGATGGTTCTAAATGGCTTAGCTTTACAGCTAGCTCAGTGGTAATACGTGTCTCTGCTGGCATATCTCAAATAGCTAAACAACTCTGAAGGACAGACAGCAAAAGGGGGAGCGGCTGTACCACAAAAGCCAGCCGCAAAGTCCAGCGGGAGGAGCAAGAGCGTTCTCAATGTCAGAAAAGCAGGCGATTTATTAAAACATCATGGGAGATTAGTTCAACCCGCGGTTATTGGTTTTCTAATGGAACAGTCTGTTAATCCTCTCGCTCTCACTCTCCTCTCTCTTCCATAAAGACATTTCAGTGAGTTAGTGCCTCGATTTTTACAAATTGCCCTCAGCTTTGCGGTGACACTTTCGATTTTGAGAGAGACGAACATTTGCATTTTTCTCTCGCTCCCCACGCTAAGATAATAGCTTGGCAGCCGAGCTGGTAGCTGGCTTGGCATGAGACGGTGTGTGAGTGTATGCATTTGTGTGCGTGCCAGGGTTTATGTGTGCCTCCAGTGGTTGTGTTTGTGTTTATGTGCAAGCTTGCACGGTAACGCCTGGGTGCCTGCACTGCTTCTTGTAGTAGAGAGTGTGGATTTGCAAGTGCAGATTTTTGACTTAGTGTTTGTATTTTTGTTTGTGGCCAGATATAGGTGTGTTTGTATTTGTGTGGCTCAAACTGCTACTGCTGCATTTAGGCCTAACTGACCCTGACCGAGCTGCTAGATGCTCACACGGATGAGGCCTGGATGGAGTAATGGAGGGTTGGACACACAAAGGCACATAATCTGTCTTCCTTTATGTGCCAGCTACCACCAACTCTCATTTCAGCATTACAGAGTTACACATACAGCAACTATGCTGACAAGCAGCAACAGCCAAATGCACAAAAGTCGACATCGCTAATATGACAGCCTAACAAAAACACAAAATAGATGTGTATATTTAGCCCAGCACTAATCTAAAAATACATTACTTGGGAGAGTGAGAGAACAGTGTGCTATTTTCTGCCTTTATAGCGTTGCAGAGCAGCTGTACAGGGCTCAGCAGGCAGCAGCTATACTGTACTGTGCCTGCAGCTACTCTGACTTTGACCTGTGGAGAACATATTACCACAAGCGTCCACAACCAGCTTTGGGGTCACATTGATCCATTCCCTATGGGATCTTTTTTTTCTGTTTGTGTCACCAGCTCGGACAAATGACTGTGACCCTCGTTAGGAAATGTAAATTACACCAGTGGTGGATAAATAGAAGTTTATAATGTATATTAAACAATTTAACTTTGTGCAATTTAACAAGCCGTTCTTATCATCCACTTTAATGCCTTTGCTCTTCATTTTATGTGGTGTTTTATTCTGAGGTGTTACACACTGGTGTTGGATGGTTTCACTTGGCTTTATGTCGTGGAATAACTCGTGCTTCAGTAAAATTTCTATTTAAAGAGAAAATCCACTGCAAAGTATAATTCAGCTCATTTAAGACACTAAGAGAATCATATCTTCACTAATCCATCCATTAATAATAGACGAAAGATGAATTTCATGAAGTAGTGGAGTATTTGTTTGAGATTTTAAGCTTTAGTTTATAATAGCAATAATAGTTCAAAATTAGCAGATGTGTCCATATTCCCAGGCCACAGTCTCACAGACTCAGTCAGTGTCTATAAGGCTCTCATTCATTCTCAGTGGAAAAACGACACAAGCTTATGTGATGTTGCTATGGGTCTGTCTTTGGTCTTGTATCTTTGGCTAATTAAAAGATGGCTTCATATCCACTGATTAAATAATGAATAATGAATATTTCTGTTATTTTATTTTAACTTTATTTCAAACTATGCATGTTACATGGTATATTTACTGTCCGTACCTTTGTTTGATTGTTCTCCTACTTTGCTCTGGTGTTATATGACAATAGGTGAAGGCATCATCTGCAGTTCATCAGGGGTCTTCAGTGTTATCCAGGCCAGGTACCCCTTAGCTCAAAGAAAGACAGAGCAGGGATCCCCTACTACAGTGGCTCCCAACTAGTCCAGCCACAGAACCCAGATTTCTCCTTAGTCATTAGTTCAAGGTCCACATTTGGCCATGTCTTCGAGCTAGTTTGCTGTCTCTGTCAAGTACCTGTCCATTAATCACTCACTGCACAGCAGGAAACGGCACTTCACGATAAAATCTCTGTGCCGGAAATTCACTGTACTTAAAAGTAAAATGTGTTTTTTACAAATTTGGCTTGTTTGCGAGTCACTTGTGGTCCATTCAGAATGGCCCCGCGACCCACTTTTGGACCACCCAGTTGGGAACCACTGCCCTACTATATATATTGTATAAATCCGAGTTGCACTTGAGGTACTTCTCTTAATATTTTCAAGTCTTCTCTCATTTGTGCTGTAGACGCTAAGTCAGCAAGTTGCAGTAGTGTGGCTCGGTGCATTAGCCTCACCCTCCGCACTTTAACCAGTGGTCTCTGAGGTGGACGGTATGTCATAGTCTCACTCAAAAAGTCACAAATAGGGACGCTGCGATCCGGATCGCAGATCGAAAATATGCTGCGATCCAGCCAAAAAACGTGGATCGGATCGGATCGCACTGCAGGGGAAAAGTGCGATACTAGCACTGCGTTACTAGCACTCCATTCCACAAATCTGCTCCAGCTTTTCCATCCAGCACTTCATTGTAACACACGAAGAAGAGAGGAGAGCGGGAGGGGGAGGTGATGTGATAACAATAACCGGGTGAAAAACAGTGTGGATAGTTGAAAAAAATGTCAGCGGTGTGGCAGTACTTCCTTCTGAAAAGCGAAAAAGATGGAACGGCCGAATGCAAAACATGTATTAAACATATAAATGTGTAAAAATTGAAATATCTAAGAAATGGCTCAAGTTTTGTCATAATAATCTACTGTTGTGGACTATTCATCTCGGGAAGTATGTTATTCTCATTTTGAGTATATAGCACTTGATCAAGCCTTTTCTATTATTCCACATTAAAAAATAAGTACTAAAAAAAGTGAACCTATTGGTCAGAACAGAGAGATAGAAATATGCACTGGTATCGGATTGGTATAGGGATCGATACTAGGACTGTGGTATCAGTATCAGATCGAAAGTGAAAAAGTTGAATCACAGCATCCCTAGTCACAAAACAATCCACTGTGGCTCACAAGACTATCTGTACACTCGAGGGGTGGCTGTGGCTTAGATTGGAAGATCGGTGCTCTGATCCCTGGCTCCTCCAGTCTGCAGGCCGAGGAATCGCTGGACAAGATACTGAACCCCAGATTGCTTGTGATGGCTGTGTCACCAGCATTTGATTGTTTATGTGTGTTTAACAGAGAAGCAGTTTGTACCATAGCCTCAGCCACCAGTTTGTGAATGTGTGAAAATAACCCTGAAGTCCCGCTAGGGGTCACGGAGCCCCTGTTGGAGACCCTAAATGGTTGAAGAGAAAGAGATAAAAAACAAAAGTTTCATTGTTTGTTGCACAGTTGTATGAAAATGTCTCTTATTCCCATGTCTTCTCACAGTCAAACCTTCCAAGCCGAGGTGTTGGATGGATGGCAAACTCCTGGAGGGCAGTGATGTCAAGCTTAGCTGCAAGTCCAGCGATGGCTCTGACCCCATCAACTACAAGTGGGAGCGAGTGCTGGACAAAGGCAAGAGTCTGGGCAAATTGCCAAACCTGGCACTGATAGGTAAGGAAAATAATTGGCACTACGCTGACATGCTGATTCATCATTCAAGCCCTCTGCACATAAATGCTATGAAGATTCATTTTCATATTAGTGATTTTTATAGGCTGCATTTATCCAAGGAAGTGTTTTGCTGAGTGCACCGCCTTTCCTTTGCCTCCTCCCAGCTTCACATTCATACATTTGGAAACACTGACACCTAAATCTGCCCAGTAAAACTACATTCTCCTGGTGGCTCTCTCAGATTCATTAACAGTTACAATGCTTTACTAAAGGCCACTTAGATGGACTCAGATTTTCCAAATTAGGCCACTGATTCTGCATGCCTCTCTTATCTTCACACAAGGGCCAGCACCACCATGTACAGCTAAAGACCACATTATGCATACTACCTGTTGTTTTTTTTTGCCCAGGAAATCAAACAGAACACAGCCCTGTGATTTCTAGTTGTACTCTGTTGGGATGAGTTATATAAACACAAGGATGCAGGCTTATGCTGTCATCTGATGAAGATGTCTGTGACATTGAAATGTCAGCCTGGCTCAAGTGAATTATACCTGCATGCATGAAGTCAGTGTGAACAGAGTGTTTTCTTGGATTGTGTGTAAAGTGTAGAAAATCAAATGTAACACACAGAACTGGTCTGGCAGCTCCCACTACATTCTGTAGCAAAAAAAACATTGGCTGTGTAGTAGCCCTGAGGCACACTTCATTCACATGGTGTGGATTCTGGCATTCCTCTTGGATCATAACCAGGCATATCCGCCTCTAAATAGTAACAGAGACAGTTTATAACAGAAAAGCTAATGGTAGGGCAATTCTCCCTACTGTGTATTCTCCAAACCGGCATAAACACCCCCGGGGTGCCAACCTTTCTGTCTCAGTTTTCCCTCCAGTGTTTAACTGGCATCCGTGATGGCACGTGCCCAGACGCAAACCCTCAAATTAATGACCTCCACCAAACAACACCTGTTCAGTCTAATTAGTTTTCATTGGACGATAACACACAGCGTCAGCAGCCATTATTTATGGGTCTGGTGAAAGGTAATATCACATGGTTGTCATTGGTGGGGATGACTGAATATCCCATGGGGCTGTGGGGCTCCATCGCTCTCTCAGACATGCTCCTGCTACTCTCTTCAAGTCCTTCTCAGTGGGATGGGCCTCGTTGTTAAATAAACACTCCATCAATGTCTCTCTCTTTCTCTCTCTGTCTCTCTCTCTTCAGGTATAAAAGACATTTCAGTTGTTTCTCAAATCCTGCAAATGCAATTGACCCATCGCAGAATGGCCAATCATAATGTAGCATTTGGCCGGCTTAGACCAGGGTCTGACAACAACACAGCTGTGCTCCATTGACTCTTAATGCAGTTGTTTCAGATTTCCTTCATTTTCAGGCTGGTATTGTGGATTTGGAGCTAAATGTTGTGCCTGGGGCACGTCGTGTATTAATGATACTCGTTACCTGGAGAGCTTGGAAAAAGATTTACGTTTCTTCCCTGTTCCAAAACCAAAATCAAACCCTGAAAAGTGTAGGGTTAGCTAGCTAGCTACTGAAGATATAGCCTACTGAGTGTATACACATGCTGCTTTTGCTTTTTAATGATTGTAACAGTGGAAAAATGACCAACCCTGCTGTACAGGAACCAGTGAAGGGAAGCAGGGAAACTTTGCTGATATTCAACCAGCTCTATGTCATTGCATAGTGCACAGATGAGCGTTGTCTGACTTCCCCCAGAGGTACTTGCTCATCTGGTGCCAGAGGTCCAGGTGCTGGCAGCGGCACAGGGACGAACCCAAACACAGTTCATCTGCACACACTGCGATGCCACACAGCTGGTTCAATATCAGCAAAGTTTCCCTTTATATTCATTGTCTTGTGTGGCGATCAGCAGTGATTGACTGTAGACAGAGGGGTCTACAGTCAAACACAGACTGTAGACCCCTCTGTCTGCTTCTCTCTGGAATCACTCTTTCATTTTTCTAAAAATATGATAATATTCCTTCAGGGAGTGCACTTAGTTACAGTGTGGGCTCCATGCTTACTCTGACAGCTTGTCGAACCATCGCAAAGGGGCGGGGCTTAAAGAAAGGTCAATTTACTTTGAGGATAAACCTGCCAGAATGCAAAACAATGTACAGCAAACACTTGAACACAAATATTTATTTCAATCCCCCAGATCTCAAGAACCCAGAGCTCGTGACCCTGAGGAATCTCACCATGGACAGCACAGGGGTCTACAGGTGCACAGCAAGCAATGATGTGGGAGAGGAAAACTGCACCATTGAGGTCACAATGCAGCGTGAGTTTTGGGAGGGGAGGGAGAGTCGACCTCGCAGCGTTCACCTCACACCAAACTGCCACACTGATTGATGGTTATTGTTTCAAACTGCAGCTGGAAATATATTTTTCCCCCCCTCTGCCTTTCCATCTACCTCCCCACGCCCTCACTCCCCCCAGCGCTTCAATCCTGTAGGGACTGCACTAAACTTAAACTGGTGGCTACTGGTCACCACCTATGCTCCCACAGTTATGTTTCACTGTCACACAAATGCATTTCTTGAGAGACCCAGGACGGTTGGGGTCATGTGTGGAGAAAATGACACATATAAGTAGCTCAGCAGAAACAGTTTGATAGCCCTGGTGTTAAATTGAATTTGGGCACTGTGGCACAGACGTACGGAGTGTGGAGGTATTTCCAGTAAATGAGCATGGACCAGAAGTATTTGTGAATGATGAATAATATGTGCTCGTGAGTGACTCTGTCTGTCATCACTTATCACTTCCTCTTCTCCATTCACAGATGTGAGGGATGTAGGTATGGTAGCAGGTGCGGTGGTGGGGATATCCCTCGGCGTCCTCATTGTCATATTAATCATCTGGCTCGTCTTCCGGAAGAAAGAGAAGAAGAAGTATGAGGAGGAGGAGACTCCAAACGAGATCAGGTTTAATAGTCCTCTTTTTCTTCTATGACTGGTTTACTTTTTTGATTTTTTGTTCTATTATACAAGTTAAAATGCAAACCAAAAGGCTAGAATCGTGTGAATGTATGGGATTACGAGTGCAGATAGTCCTGCGTTTCTTTCTCCATGTGTTCCTGTATCTCTGTGGGGCTGTTGCTCTTTTAGTTTTGCTTTAATTGCCACTTTTTAAATGAGATCAAACCTGTTGCGACCTCAAGCTGCCTTCACATGATAGGAAATGTGCTCCTCACTCACCTCAACGTAGGTCAGAGAACATAGTGTAAACTTTTGAAGATGCAAAGCGCAGCACAGGTATACATCATCTAGGAACAGCAACAGTTGCACTCACAGACCATTTTGTGAGAGCTGAATGTCAAAGAAGTTTATGTCGAGATTGTGATGTCTTGTTTATGGTGTGTTATAGTCTAGAGTTTGGGAAAGAGGATGAGTTTTTCTTCTATCAGCAGTCAAAGTTGAAATAATTGAAGTGCAGCTGTGCACCACACCAAGGGTAGCACTTTCGCCTAGTCGGGCGCCAACGCTCTTTGCATAGAAGAACAATGGTACAGCCGGCGCAGAGCGGTTTCACAGCTGATCATGTGTGGGTGGCTTTACAGAAAGCACCTGTCTGGCTTAATCATGCTTAAAGCCTGTTAGATTTTTCTGATCACCTCACAACCTGAACATTTACAACAACCATGAATTAGCTAATGCAACACCTAATGCAAAAAAAACAAAACAAGGTACACATCTCAGGTGAGGGAGACAGAGTTATTTTGAGTTTATTGAAACAGAATAAAGATATCTTGCAGCAATGCAATTACAGCCCACTTCGGCCACCTGGGGCCGGGGGTGGTGCACCTGGGGCACCACAGCTACAGTGTGCAAGCGAAATGCTAACTGACACAGCAACAGCCCCTGTATGCTTGGATGTGTTTGCTGTCCACCTGCCTGTCTGCCTATGTGTGTGTCTAAAAATAAAAACAACTACAAGGTCAAGTGTTCATCAATTATCTTTTAAGAGCCTTCTTCTCACACACTCCCTGTGTATGTGTGTGTGTGTTGCATCAGAGCTGAGGGATGCCACTAGTGTTTATTCCTCACTCTAAAGCCTGCGTGCAGCGGCGGACCCTGAGGACTGCTAATGACACTTGTAAAAGCAACAACGCTTTTTGTGACAGACCGGAGTAGGTGTGGGTGCATATTTACTGATGTAACAGTGCATAATGCAAAATGGATGAGGGACATCTTCAGGTAAATAATGTAGATGTGATGAGGTGTTTTCTGTTTTTATACCATGTTAAGACTCTGAGCTTTTCCACTAATGTGCTGAACCAGACCCCAGCAGTGTTGGTGACGCACATCTCTCAGGTATATGAATTTAGAACCAACCTCACTGCTGTTCAAAAACAAAAAAAAATAAATCTTCCAAGAGTTATAGAACCATCTCTGGTGTGTCTGGGAAGGTACCGTGTAGCCAACGGTGCACAGATGAGAGGTTTCTATTTCCAGCTTTCTGTGGAGAATATAAGTCTTATATCAGTGGGATAATACTACGTGCTGACTTAGCCCTGCAACCCACACACCCTGGTGACCTGGTGACAGTGATTCATTATAACTGCAAGGATCCTCTGCAGTTTCATCCAAGTAACAATCACAGTATAAATTACCTTAGTTTTGGTGATTAATGTTTTTAAGTGGTTTTGCCACGTGGTTTTCTATTCTTCTCTGCTATCTTGTACATTTTTTAGTCTCCCTCTGTCATGAAAGTGGAATTATAAAGGAAAGTTTTCATTGTGTTTTCAGCAAAAACTTTTTTTCTTGTTCCTTCAACAGTTGTATCTGGGGAACCAGTGATTTCAGCAGATTTCATTATTCCATGCAAATGTGCTTCACAAAACTAAGGGGCTTGGGGGGGATCTCATGAATTACATGAGGTCCTCACATAATACCAGTCCCGTGTGAATAGGGTCTTAAAATAGTGTGGTGTCTGTGTGTGTTTCTCTTCTCTCATTTCAGAAGTAGAGTTGATATAAGATAAATAGACCTTTGTCATTGTTTGTGTGTCTGTGTGTGTTTCTGACCACAGGGAGGATGCAGAGGCTCCCAAGGCCAAGCTAGTGAAGCCCAACTCCCTGTCCTCATCCCGCTCTGGCAGCTCCCGCTCTGGCGCCTCCTCCACCCAGTCCATGGTGCACAACAGCGCCCAGCGTGGTCACCGCCCCCGCCCACCTGCTGTAACAGCTCTCAAGGAAAATGGACAGCCTCCAGGCTTCCCCCAGTCCCCTCCATCCTACACTTCAGTGGTGCCCAAGACCCCTGAGCCCCCTACCACTCCCAAATTCAACTCCAGGAACATGTCTGGGCCCACACCCCCAACCCTCATGGTCCCCGCCCAGACCAAGGCCTTTCAGACTGTGTAGGACTGAAAGCCAGCCACTTCCTGCAGCCATGTGAGACTCCCATCCCAGCCCAAGCCCCCGAGCCCCCTCCCAAAGACTAAGACTCTTCCATAAACAAAGAAATGCAACTAGTTAAAAGGATGTAATTAAAAGAATCAATACTATAAGTCCAAAAGTACTTTTAATGAATGCATACTTAAAAAGGGAAAATAAGACATGCTTGCCCCCTACTGAATTACATAAAACAACAAAACAAAAGAAAAAACAAGACCCGAGATGCAACGCTGTCCGTGTCTCATGGCTGAAGGCAGAACTTGTTTTCTGAGTTCCGTCTTTTGGCTTTGGAAGCACAGGGAAGCGCCGTGTGCAGCAAGGTGGAAGGAGCCCCCTACAGTAGTAAAGCTTTTATTTATTTATCAAATCAAAGGGTTAGGCATGCAGTGGAGAATAAGAGGGGAAAAAGGGAGACAGTAAAGGCTGGATGATGTTGAGCTTTGGTTGTGGACAAATACAAGATGGATACAAGCAGGGAGAAAAAACGAGGAGGAAGAAAAGTGCGAGAGTGCAAGACAGCTACTGATTTTTTTTTCCTCTGGGAGGAGGGTGGGGGGGGGGGGCACGGGGTGATTCTCTGATTCATGTCACCCTGCACCTCCGACTCGCTGCCTCCAGCACCTGCTCTGAAACCACAAACCCCTTTGCCTCCCATGGGCTGGGCCGATTGTGCCCATCCATGTGGACAGACACAGTGTGCGGGCGTGTGCATCATCTGCCTCAGTGCTCTCGGTCTTTTTGTGCTCTCATAACGAAGCCGTGAGAAACTACAGCGGCCCAGAGACTGACTCAGCTGGCTCACAAACAGCTCATCTGCTTTACCAATCAGCAGGGGAAACTTCAGGTACAAGGATGTAGCATTGACAGCCGAGTCAAATCAATGGAGCAAACACCCTCCCCCTCCCACATCCTGTCTACATCCACAGACATCCTTTTCTGGTACTGAATATCTTTCTTGAATAATTAAATAGTATGTATTAGGCCTATAGCGAGTCACTACTTTAAATATAGGGGATAAGCATCTATTAGACCAGCTGGACTTGTTTTTCTTTTCTTTTGTTTCAGTTCTCCTGTGTTTCTTCTCTCTGAACAGGTTGTAAAGGGTGACAGACAGCTATATGTCCATTCATCCGTATTAAGAAGTGCCACCAATCCTTAGGATGGGTTATTATTCTTGCTTTTTTTACTCTTTTGTTTACCTGCTACATTTCTGAACTGAAACCAAATTCTTTCACCATGAATGTGTGATGTACAAAGATGGTGGATCCCGTTCATTCCAGCTCCCGATAAGGTACTGAATCAACATTGGAGCTGAGGCACAAAGCATTGACCTTGACGTTCAATTTCACAATTACTATGTCTGAATGAAGGGAGTGGAGAGTATGATTCTGGAGACTTCAATTGTATAGGGTGTGTATGATATCATTGTCAGTACTCTCCCTGGATCCTTAACAATGGAGTGGCACTCGATTGCTGTCTCGCTGAATCACCAGGACCTGCTTGGTTATTGGTCGAGCTGTGCTATCAGCCAATTCCCCTTTTGTCGTATTCTCAGACAGACCCAGTGCAGTTTGATTGAAAGTATCTGAAAAAAAGGGGGGCAAGTAGCCTATCTAGTGTGCCTTTGCAATCCCTCTTTCTTTCTTCGTCCTTATCTTCAGCACACCAGTGGTTAAGTCTCTGTTCACATCCAGCTTTGAGGGTCAACGGTAGCAAAATACTGAGAGATACAACTTCACAAAACTTGCCCTAGTAATAACAGATGCAGCCTATAGAGAGCACCAAGCAGAGCGGATTATCCATGGTGAGAAAGCAATCCCATGCCATGGGACAATGTACTGTACATTCTGTAATCAGTCTTGTTTTATATTGTACATACAGATAGATATACGCACATGATGTCATTTAATTTAATAAGTAAGGGTACGTGAGGGGAGATATACCCCTTACAAGAGACAAATGGGAAACCCAAAAGTGAATTTAAACCCTGTGTTTTTTGCACACATGTTGTGTAAACAAGTGACGCCCCCTACTCTGATGCCACCTGTGACATTTTTTATATTTCAAAAAATGAAACAAATATTACATAGATATGTTTTGCAAGGTTGAAGTGTAGAAAATAATTAATCTTGTACAAGGTTTTCTCACAGCTACTGGCCAGATTCTCATGGGATGCTTTATGGATTTTATTGATCCCGTGAGGACAATTTCAACCGATTTTTGTTGACCCCGTGACCTTTCCTCAAGCACCACCACTGGGTGCACCACCTTGACCAGAAATTGGGAAGTGATCTTGAAAGAAACAGCCAGATTTCCATTAAATCTGCTAACAGTATTTATAGTCAGCACATCATTAATATTTTGCTGACCTTTAATCCGGCGCCACAATCCAGCAAAAATTTCCACTTGGGCACAATATATATCAAAGTCAAATTTTGTGAGACTCTCAGGACAAACTAAACAATTTAACCTCCACTACTGGTTCTAAGAAGAGCAAATTATCAGTATGTCTAATGCTTTAATATTATATCTTGTAACGAATATTGCTTTTCTCTCTGGGCCAGTAGCAGGGCTTTAATCTTGTTCCACTTCTCCAAACTGCCAAATAAAAAGAAGTAATCAAATCTCAAAAGTTCTGAAAACCAACATCTGTCTGAAAAACACATGTGGTTTGACTTCACATGCGGGATTTCACGTGTGACTTCACTGTAAGGGAAGATGAGGGGGAAAAATGCCTTTTATATTCAACTAGAGACAGCAGTTCATATTTGAGCAGGGAAGCCACTGTGTGTGTATGTGTGTGTCTGGGCGTGTGTGTGCATGGGTGCATGTTTGTGAATGTGTGCGAGTGTGTCTGTGTGGGTGTGTGCATGTTAATTTCAGTATAAGCCCTTGGGCCACACCCACACACTCTCATGTTAGCCATTCAGTGAGTGAGAGGTATCCAGTCAGGCAAAGTAACCTCCATCCAAATTGATATGACTGCAGACTGGCAGTGTTTATTTTAGTTTTCACTGACTTCTCTGCCTATTGAACTTGGCTTCACGGGCAGCAGTCATGTTTTTGCTTGTGGGGGTGGTGTCTCGAGACAAAGCACGTCCATAATTCATAATATCGTCAGCTCTGGAGGCCACTTGTACGCTCTCTACTTGCTCTTCTTGTCTCTTAACATAGGATGCACTTTGCCCTGGGTGTACTGATGGCATCTCAAGGCACACACACACACATTATACAAAACAGGTCAAAGTTGTATATACACACACATAAACAGGTAACCGTGGCACATTCAGATCTGCACGGAAACACAGGTGTGTGCTCCATGCACATTCAAAGTTGCACATGCATGCATGCGCTCACAAACACACACACATGTACACACAGTTTGCACAAACAAAAGCCCAAACAGCAGTCCTTGTTATTTCTGCTCCTTCAGAATCAATCTGATGGATCGAATGTCTGGAGGTATTACGACTGACTGATGGAAGCAGGATACTAAATGCAGCACAGAAAGGGACACTCTGCATCGCCCAGGGTTCATGTGCACACACACACAGCTACTGTAACATGCACACAGACATGCACGCAAACGCACATGCACTCGGAAATACAAACTCTGCTATGCATCTTAACAATCTGGATAGCATATGCTTCGAGACTTCTTTTTTTTTTCCATGGGAATCTGCGAGAGTAGCACTGGGAATCAGGAGAGGTATAACAGGATTGATTATGAGCCAGGGCTGTAGGCTCTCGCCATTGAAATTCCCTCCACCGCAGATGAAAGTAGCAGTGGAGGTGGAGGATGGGATGCAAGTCTTCCAGCTGTTAAATTCCTCCAAGCTTTTTGATTTGCTTTCCAGCAACTGCAAGTCTCAGGTGGCAGATTCCCCAGTTTATGAGCCCTCGCGTTGCATCTCTCCTCTCGTGTGTGGAGCTTTGTGGCCTGACAAACTTGCGCTCTTTCCAACAAATGAATTTTAAGGCGCTTTTGTCAGTTCAGATGAGAGTGGAGGAGGGACGTCTTAACACACCTCAGAGTGTCAGCAGCACATCCAATATCATTCTTTAAAAGAGTATCCATCAGCACTATATATGTCTTATTATCAAACACTCAAAGGTGCAGTAAACATGAAACCATTAAATGCTTATTCTGCGTTATATGATAGGAGTATGAATCTCATGTAGCCACGATGTTTTACGTTCTATTAAGCAGTTTTATTTCTGATTAAAGCTGTTGAGCAGGGCACAGTGATGCTCAGACTTTGTGGTTTGGCCTTGTATGCCAGTATAGGGGAATGTGATGTATTGCTACTTTTGAGAGAGGAGATGAACGGGGCTGTAGTCAACCTCAAGAAGGAAAGCAAAGGTACCTGCATGTCATAGGAGATTGAGCAGATGAACGGGAATGCTTTGCTTTGATGTAACATAACTGTATTCGGCTAAAAATAGAAAGAAAAAAAAAAGAAAATCTACAATTGTAAATATATTCACAGAAGATTTTATGAAGCTTTATTTTTGTCTTCTTCTTTGTTTTGAATTTATCATCCATGTACTTTGCACTTTTTTTGTGTGCTGTGCTCATCACCGGCCTGTGTGGGATCTGTGTGGTTGGCTGTTTCTCTCGACTGCATTGTTTCGACGTCAGGGGGAGACACGCTCAGCGCGGCATCACTAAAGGGAAATGTAAGACACTTTTGTTTTCTTTACTCTCATCCGTTCTTCTGCCATGGCTTCTCTTTGGTTTTATAAAACAGTACAGAATTTTTTTGTTTGTTTGTTTGATGAAAACAATCCATGTAAATATCACAAGTAAAAAAAAAATGTATATTTTTACGACTTCTGAGTTATTACTCTTTCATTTGCAAATAAAATATTCAATGACAACTTAATTGGTCTTGCGGCATCTTGATTTGGATTTTGGCCTCACAAGAGAGCAAATACAAAACAAGAATAACACCACATATCTCACACTCCTGACTGACATAGATGTGTCGCGTCATGTTCAGTTTTTTGATTGCAGTGGGTTCAGAAATGTATTTTTGTCTCCGACGAACCTCCTCTGAGCTGATCTTGGTGCACAGTATTTTGATGGGGTGTGATGAAAGCCTCTTTTCATACTTTTTACTTTGAAAGGCACTGTGCATATGTATCAACATAAAAAACTTACTTTGTCAACTTGAGTTAACCTAAACAAAATACCTGAAAGACCCCAACAATTAGGAAGCACCATGGCAATTTGTACAGATGTTCATAGTCCCCAGAATCCTAGTGACTTTGGAGATCCCCTGACATTTCCTGTCATGCCACAAGCAGGACAAATTTTCACTTAACCACTAGAATATCTCAACATTGACGAGATTCATACAAAATTTAGTACATTCACAATTCCCAGATGATTAATCCTATTGACTTTGGTGATCCTCTGATTTCCTTCAGCCATGAAATGACTTCATTTATACCCCCTTAAGGATGAAATGAAATAGCTTTAGTGATCCTCTGACACTTCCTGCCATCAACAGATCAGAATTTTAATTTGTCAAATACTTGGACAATACCAATACTTAAAACCAGGTCAACAACTAAAATTCCCTTCAGCCTCTACTGTACTTTATGTTTAGTACTAAATAGCAAATGCTGGCAAGCTGAGGCGCTTATTTAAAAAGGTAAACAAAGTAAATATGTACAATATGTGCGGTAAACAGGTGTTCATGTGGAAAAAAAGGGCAATCCTTCCAGAGAAATATTTTGCATGTGGGCATGCAGGAATATTTTCTTGTTCGCCTGCAAAGTGCGCCTTGCCAGGACGTGTCTGTGTGTCTGCCGGCACCAGCAGAGCTCTTGAGGCTGAAGTACATACAATACGTTTGTGCACAGGAATGATCAGGGGAAATGTCTGTCTGAGGTGTCTAATCCATACTATATACACCTAGCAGCTGCTACACATACACTTTCTACATTTAGTATACATTTATGTACATTTATAACAGGCAGAAACAAAGACAACAATGCCACACTGTGCACACTATAAGATAAATAACCATTCACATTCATCACATCTTTACACAAAATTAAAAACGCTGTTCTCTAAATAAATAGAATAATCAATATACCAATCTACCCTCCAAACTACAAATAGGCCTGAGTTCAATTACAACAATCAGACTTAAAGCGTCCTCTTCTCATTGTCTTCTCCTCCTCTTTCCTTTATAAATTGTCATATACTATTTCTTATAAGTATCTTCTGAATGAGCTTTAATCAAATAATCCTAGAGAACACACACACACACACACACACACAGCAGTTGCAGCTTAGGGCTCCTTTGCGCTCTTTGCATGTTCGTGCAGCATCAAAATGCATGTCAGATTTGTTTGAATTAATTATCAAAGCTGCTGTATGGGAGATGTAAACAATATTTCAAGTTGAGTTTTGGCTCATAAAGACATGTGGAAATGGAAAAGCAGTTTGGCGTCTGTCTGTGCTCGTCACAAGCAGCTGTTAAACTTTGCCACAGAATTGAAGGGAGACTGTGGTTTTACGGCAGACTAGCCTACTTGTTAAGCTCAATGGTGGGTTATTGCTTAAATTAGCCTGGCTGTATTCGGATGTTTTCAGAGTGGATTCATTTCCCAACCGTGACAAACAATGCCAAAGCTCAGGGCAATCACTGTCGTTACCTGGCTGTCCATGAAGGCAGGTCAGGGCAAACCAATACTGGGTGTGATTTGTGTTTGTTAACTGTGGTGGCTCTGACAGAGGATGTTAAAGAGAGAGGGGCAGGGGCTAGAGTCAAATGCAGTTATTGGGCACACAACACACTTTGAACTGAGAACTGATGCTAACTAAATGTAAAATGATTAAAAGAAATATGTCTTGGGGCATCGGTAGCATAGTGGATAGTGCCGGCACCCCATGTTACAGAGGCATCGCCTCACTGCAGCAGCTGCGGGTTCAAATCCGGCTCGCAGCCCTTTGCTGCATGTCAGTCCCCACTCTCTCTCTGTCTCCCCATTTCACCTTCTGTCCTGTCATTAAAAAGGCAAAAAAGCCAACAAAAATAATCTTTTTTTAAAAAAAAAGAAAAGAAACATGTCTTGCAAAAGGGCACTTATCTAGTCAGAGGGCAAAAGGACAAGTACTTGAGCACCACCTGGGCTCTATCTGTGCATGTGCCTGCTGCTAAACATCAGTTTGTTAGCATTGTTATGCTTACAATGACAGAGCTCAAAGCCCCACTTACCTGAATACAGAGGCTGAAGACTTGTAGTAGTGTTAAAACACTTACCAGTAATTTGTATTAATTAGGCTACTCTACATTTCTTTTATATTCATTTAAAAGTAATGAAGATGCTGGGGCGTCGGTGGCTTAGTGGATAGAGCAGGCGCCCCATGTACAAGGCTGTTGCTGCAGCGGCCGGGGTTTCACTCCAGCCTGTGGCCCTTTGCTGCATGTCACTCTCTCTCTCCCCCTTTCACACTTGTCTGTCCTATCAATTGAAGGCTAAAATGCCCCAAGAAATATTGAAAAAAAAAAGTAATGAAGATGCATATGAAGACACTATCCACAGGCTAAAAAAATGCAGAAGCTTCAGAAAAGCTTTTTTGCAGACGTACCTGGTAAGCACTTTAATTCAAATGAGTGGGGCACCACTACATTCTCTTAGGGCAGGGGTAGGCAACCTGCAGCTCCAGAGCCACATGCAGCTCTTTAGCCCATCTCCAGTGGCTCCCAGTGGCCTTGACAAAAATGTTACTGCTATATGGAAATAAATTAGTTATTTATTAACATTTTAATTTGTATTTACCACTGTTGTAGGCCTAAAGTAATTATTACATTCTCCAGTTGTAAAAGTGTGCAGCCCATGCACCAAATAAAAAAGTGTTTTAACATTTCATCAACTGAAATGTGTGTCATACCTCTACTGCCTGGCTCTTTTCATCTAAATTTCAAACCTCAATAGCGTTAGTGAATCTTGAGTCTACCTAGCTTGACTAGCATTGGATTCAAAGTCCATAAAAGGAAAAGTCTCAAAGGAAAACATAGAATCTGGTGATGTCACTGTCGCTCCTTAAGCTACTGTCTGTCCTGAGCTGTATGACACAAGTATCAAACACAGATCGAAAAGCCCATTTGTGGGAGCAGATCGGCCGGAGACAGAATGTTGTGTGTGATTTTATCACCATATGTGTGGTAGCTTGTTGTTAACTGTGTAGTCAACCGTCTGTTCCGAGCCAATGTCAAGATATCGTTGTCTTAGAAACAATAACCCACGTGGAGCACTTCATTAGAAAAAAGCATGAGGTCTGCTTTTTTTTCCTTTTCTTATAAAGTGCTGGGATGAAGTGCTCCCCAGTGCCCTGCAAATAATACATCCATGTCTTAAACACACAACAACACTGTTATGGGCCTTAGAGGTATTTAAAACAGATATGGACGTCCCCTTCTATACAGCTGTATAACTAAGCCCATCAAGATCTGAGGTCTTAAAGTGGCTGAGGACAGAGCCATTGGGGCAGGGGGCTCCTTCTTCATCCTCCTCAGCGGTCTCTCTCGATCTCCAGCCTTTCAACGTGACATTTGCCCCCATGGCAACAAGGTCAGCGATATCTATTGACCTGTCAGCCACTTATTGACTGACATTTATCTCCTCCCTCTTAAAAGTTCTTCTTATGTTGACAATCTATCGAGCTGCCAAGATGGAGGGGCCGTGTCAGCCCTGGTTAAAGAGACAGGGTGTGACTTTATCGCCGCTCCAAGGATGCACACAAAAGGTATGACAAGTCGTCCCGAAAGTGGGTTGAACAAGTGGAAATAACGCTCTGAGTTAATGCACATGAACGAGCCATTGTGGATAATGCAATTACCGACGCGTTCTCTGACATCTGTTTGCTGAGGAGTCGGCTGCTGACTGCTTGCTAAATTTACATCTTTTCAAAACACAGCATGCATATTAAACAAAATCGGATTTTCAAGGCCGGATCACATTTCTGTGCCCATTGTTCCACATGATTAGCCATGTGTGATGACACTGTCATAAACCCATCTCACTGGGATGCAAACACACACACACACACACACACCTATGAATGCATTTAGTGCATTGATGTCATTTGGGTACAGTTTCGACCATCAAGATGGTGATTCAAAGTGTTACAGATAATGTTTAATTTTCACAATTTGCCGATTTTTTCAGCCTCTCTAGGCCACATCACTGATGTTGCATATCATCTAATAGCATGATGTGTCACAATTATGGATTAACACGGACACTTACACCCTAATTAACCCAAACACAAAAGTGTTAAAAACATGTCATCACACAGATAAGGTTTTTTTTTTTTTTTTTTTTTGCTCTGAGCGAGCTTTGCAGCCTAATTAATAGGAAATCGTGTTTTGCTCTTGGTCTCCCTCTATAATCTGCAGTAAATACTTGGAGATTGCCACACGAGGCCTTCATAATTGAAGTCACTTATATAATTGCACCCCCTGGTGTTGATTGGGGATAGCTCTCGTGTTATCTGCGATGCTGATAGGCTCTTAATGAGATGAGAGAAATCATAAGTCACACATCATACATCATCAGTTGAGAGTAACTAATCTGAATCCTCATGTGTAACCTATATAAAGGAAAAGGGGAGCGGCTGGCAATTTTTGGAACATGACTGTGTAGTCTCAGGAGCAGGACTATGTTTTTTTCTTATTTAAGATTGTGAGGCCTGGATTATATTTCCTCTTTCTTTGGACATTGACCTTATCACTAATCACCAGATCTCATTTCCTGGCTCCCCACAGACAAGTCTAACCTAATTTAAACCATGAACATTGTTTGTTAGTGAATTATAAAAGAAAAGCCATCTATTTATGTAGCAATCCACCGTGCACAGTCGTCC